AGGGCATTTGTGTATAAAAACCACAATACAATAGGGGACATATATATGTGTATAAAAAAAATCACAATACAATAGGGGACATATATATGTGTATAAAAAGTCACAATACAATAGGGGACATTTGTGTATAAAAAATCACAATACAATAGGGCACATATATATGTGTATAAAAAATCACAGTACAAAAGGGGACATTTGTGTATAAAAAAATCACAATACAATAGGGGACATTGTGGGTATAAAAAATCACAATACAAAAGGGGACATTCATGTATAGATCATTACAATACAATAGATTTTTTTTTAAATAAATCATTGCGAATCATAACGGACATGTAAGTGTACCTGATCATAATTCAAGAAGGGACGTGTTTATAAATTATTTTAAAACCAATGGAGGAAATTTGAGTAAATATTTCCCACAAAACAATAGGAGACATTGTATATAAATAATCACAATACAATAGGGGACATTGTGAATAATAAAAGTGAAATTTCTTGATCTTGGAGAGCATAAAGCAACTGGGCGGAAGTGCTGGTGAATTCTAAAATACGAAGTAGTTTTTTTTTTTTAAAGTGAAATAATAATGAAAGTTTTTTCTCTGATACCAATTACTTTTGATTCTATTTTGTTTAATTTGTTCCAATGAAAGCTTGAAATTGAGCTTGAATTTTGTTTAGGAATAAAATACAGTAACTGTGGAACCCCAACCCAACGGACTTTACCTCCAAGAGCATATCTCAATATTAAAGAAAAACAATAAATACATCGATAATAGTATACTTATTCTTAAAAATGTATGTATGAAACAAAAGAAACAATATATAGATTAGACTGGAAAGAAATTATTTACTTCCGTTACATGACGACATCTTTTGATAGAAAAAGTATTAGTAACAACTAACAAGTGGTCACGGGTGGGGTTTCACTTAAAATGTTATAAAAATTTTCAAAATGATCAACCAAATGAACATCAATCGCAAGCTCAACAAAGACAATAAATAAATCTGCATTACGGAAAAGATGAAAAATAAGCTCACCTGTTAAGCGAAAAAAAAAAGTCGAGAATTTACATACAACTTTGCAGTTGCTGATCTGTAGCTCGTTGATCTGCCAGAGGAAATTGGAATGGGCGATTAGAAAAGTATAGCCCCCCCCCCCCCCCGACCAAATTTGACAAAAAAGTACATATTAATTGAGCACAAACGAGTGCATTTGTTCTTGATTTATTTCTCTGTATATTTAAGCTGCCAGCTCAAAATATTACAAACCATGAAGTCTTAACATGCATTATATTTTTAGTGCATGAACTTCTGCGAAATATGAGGATTAAATCATTCCTTGATAATTTCCCCGGGAGAAATGGATTTTATTGGTTGAATATAAATGTTCGTATTTCCCTCATGATAATGAGATGAATCGTTTGCGGTATTATACCGAAAAAACCAAACCTTTGTAAATAACATTCAATTTAGGCTCCTCTTTCTAATTCACTTTTAAAAAAGTCAATTGTCTTCCGTATCTTTTTTCCCCTTTTTCAAAACACCCTTATTGGAAAGAAGATAATTGCTAATTTCGTCACTGTTTGGCAGATGAACCCTTTCTAATATTATTAATTTTGCAACTCTCGGAATTTTTAGTTTAACGAACGATACGTATTGCAAAGGGGGGAAAATGTACGATGTTTTCGATGTGGTTTAGCATAACGGCAACAAGGAAATATGCGTTGTATAGAACAGTTATAATGAGGTATAATAAATTCTTTTGAATTCTTTTACTACTTCTAACAACATTGAAAACCCTGAGGTATGTAAGGACGAATTTTTGTTAATGTATGACTGTACATGTAAGAAAAAAAAAATTAAAACAATTTCAGCTTATATTAGCTAAAACAAGATACATGTACGTGATTGTCAACTATATTTCTATGTCTGACATTTGAGAATTTATATCTGGCAATATGACCGCACATTGCCAAATCAATATTCCACACTATAAGGAATCATTTATTACAGAAAGCATTATTCCGATTATTTTCTTTTTGAAATTACGTTAGCGGCCCTTTTAAGAAATGAGATGTCATTTGTTGTGTACATGTGGGTCCCCCCCCCCTTTTTTTTGTTGTTGCTGTAAGATCAAGCAAATTCCAATACTTTTTTTTGTTTTTTAAAAATTGTATCAAAATGTAAGGAAATGTCCATAATCACCCCTCCCCCTACCCCTTTTCGATATTGGACGGTTTAGTTTTTTTTTTTCTTTGTCATAATTTTTGGTAGGTGTCCCCTTTTAAAACCATTGCTACGGGGTGCTTTAAAATGATAGGGCATGAAAAGTAGACTACTAATTAAAACCATGTACAAACTTTCTTTTATGAAGGAACAAACGAAAATAACGAGTGATTTCCGAATGACAACTGAAGGCCGGTGACAACTTTGGATAGATAACGTTAGCACGCTTCGGATTCTGTAATCGAAACGAAATCGGAAACAAATTTTATGCTGTAGAAATAAGGTATCGGAGACACCACTGTGTAAAGAACAGGGAAAATAGTAACTTAGCAATGAAATTCAAGGTCGGAATTCACAGTGAAACAGATTGCAAAGGTGTCAGATTACAAAGTATACTAAAATGCGCTTCCTAGCCATGCTTCTTCAAGATGGGCAGAAGAAGTGATGGAGATTTTCTGAGATTAATTAAATTTTCACTGTATAACAGTCTTTGCCCTGAATTTAACATTCTCGGTAGAGTGCTTTATGCATATTCCACTTTTAAACACCAAAACATTGCCTATAATCTTACAAAAATGAATGATTTGGAAATAGGTATCAATTAATTCTTTTTCTGGCATCAAATTTGATCTCTGCGTCAATTGAATTAAACATTTTTTCCTAAATGACATCACAAGGATAAAATGGACATATTAACGGTCCAAAAGGTATCGATATCAATTTTATAGGACAGTTTCGTTTGCATGTTTGTTTGTTTATATATCGCGTCCCTTTCGAAAAAAAAAATCACCCATATTGAGACGCCACCATTTGCTGGAGCAGGGGTGCAAATTTGGACCTATTCTAAGTACTCAAGGCCATTGAGCAGTGAGGGATCTTTTTGGTGCCAGCATATACTGCGACACGGGACCTCGGTTTATGCGGTCTCATCCTAAAGACCGGTCTCCATGTTCCGCAGTTGGATTTGAACCCGCGACGTAAGGTCACGCGGGTGACTTTAGAATAGGTTACCTAGTAAATTTAATTTACTGCGTCTGCAATCACATCAAAGTTCCGGCACTCCCATAATGCTTATTCACTCCGATTTCTGGCGCGGCGCAGTGGTGGATGGAGAGTTTTAGAGTGTTTGCTTTAGAGTCGAGGAGTAAGAAGCTGATCCTTACGTCGCAGGTTCGAATCCGGCTGAGGGACGTTGAGACTGGTCCTTTGGATGAGACCGTATTAACTGAGGTCCTGTGTCGGAGTAGGTGCTGGGACGGAAAAGATCCCTAAGTGCTCAATGGCCTTGCGTAAATATATAAATTTCATGGTTAAAGAAAACATGGAGCAAGGATCCGATAAACCTGAAAAACACTTTTATGAAAAAAACGTTGGTATCTCTCCGAGAAATACTGCATGTCCATCTAGTCAATGTTAATATCACAAACATGTTTTAAATGTCATTATTCATCCAGAGTTGTAAAGCGTGTTAACGTTAGTCTAAATAGATATTAATACTCAGGATTTTTATTGCCAGGATTTGAACCCCAGGAATACGACTTTATTTTTGAGTACTGGTTATAGAATTTTTTTTTTAAATCAAAAACGTTTTGTTTGTCGTAATTTTATAAATTTCAATTATTAGAACTTTACTCTTAATATTTAATTCACAAATTTGATATGATTTTTTAAGTATCTAATGCCATAGCATTCTGCACGCCTTGTTCGCCCATCTCCTTTATGTAGAAAACCTTCATAAAGAGCAATCTCCTATAATTCATCTTAAGTGTTTAAAGAAATCAAATTAAAGGATCATGTATTTGACTTATTCGTAAAAATTAAGACTACTTTTATTGATATATTTTAATACAAAATTATATTATGTATCAATTCAAAGCAAATTTTGCGCTCTTATGTGAGTTAATTGCAACCAAAATCTTTAAATTTTTCTCCGAAAAAAAATATTTAAAAAAAAAAACAGATTAAAAAAGGGAAGGCAATCGAATACAAAATTGCATACATGAGTAAGGATCAGAGGAGGTTACGCATTAAAAGTGCCGTGTGCAAAAATTAAAATATCACGTGACCGGAAAGCCCGCCTACCGACGCCATTTATGAATGGACGATTAACGGTTTTGTCGCTGATTTGATAAGCGAAATGGGACCTCCTACAAGCCGTCACAGGTGAGTAAATATGTTAATGCCCTAGAGAAACTTGTAAACAATTGCCATGTGTTGATATCGAGTCACTGTATGGTCATTTTTTGACATAATAACCCGTTAACGAAATGCTGTTTTCGGGGCCATTGTTTACAACACAGTTTCAGAAATTATCGGAGACACTTTACACCAGATTGCACATTTGTTACGAGAGACTTTGTTATAAAAAATCAACACAACAATTTTCAATGTTTTTACAATAAAATTTTTTTAAAAGGCGTCTTAAGTCGTCTCGATATTTTGATATATTAGCTATTTATTTAGGCTGGTAATTAGCTTATTATCGACATTGAAAGTTAAATGCACTTGTATCATTCTCTTAAAAAAAAACACACTGCGTCTTTTTTGTTTACTTCCTGTTATCTTTCTGGTAAATTTAAGTAAAAAATACAATTTTAAACAAAAATTAAGAAAACAAATTTAGATTTATAGAAATTATTAGCTCATATAGTTAATAAAAGTTAATAAAATATCATGAATTTTATAATAGCATGTATATTCTGCATGGTTTTATCATGATTGTAAAATGTTTTTGTTTTTATTGTAAGATAATGTAGGCCCAGTGAGTGAAAATGGACACCCCTGTGTTGCGCTTGCCTTCAAGGGACACGAGAAAGTGCCTTTTCCAGAGTCCAGAACAAGAGTATGAATTACGACACAGTGCTACACCTCTGGTAAGCCCTCTAATATATAAAGTGTATTTTTCAGTGTGATTCTGCAAACACTTAGACTTTATGCCATTAAAGTATAGTCTAAACATAAATTGGATCTATAATAAGTTAAAAATTTCCTAATTTATGATTCTGTAATTGAGAAAGAAGAAAATTCTCCCAATTTATATACTTTTATCGCTGATTAATAATGCATACAGACTATGATTATAAGTAATTTGATTTAAAAGAAGTTCACAGTTTGTCAGAAACTTCCATTTGAGCATTTGTTTGTAGGGTATTGTGCAGAAGCGCAACAGACAAATTAGCTGGTCTCCAAAGAAAAGGACACCAATTAAGAGTCCACCAAAAAAGAAGAGTAGGAAGGGGGCTTGGTCCAATGCAGAACTATGTTCTCTAGTGGAATTTGTTGCTTTGCATAAAGACATACAGTCCATGCAGTCTTCAGATAGTGAATGGCCTGCCATGAATGCGGACAACAATTACTGGACAGAAGCCAGTGACTTTATAAAGATGTCTTGTGGAACATTACGTGGTAGTAAGTAGTTTTTAAACCATATAAAATTAAAGAGATAGGTAACTTTAAATGAAGATGTAGTCTGTACATTAATACCTGTCTTTAATCTTGCATGCTCTACATGTATACCAATGTCTGTGTAAGAGAGATGAAAGGGACATTTGTCAACTGACCTCGTAAATATACTTTAAATTGAAATTAATTACACTTCAAGTATAGTACTTTACTTTCAAATGTTGCCGGGGAAAACAGTTCAAAGTATAGGTGGCAGGGGATAGTTTCATATTGAACATCCAGTAAAATTTCTTTAAAAATAGAAATATCACTTGTTTGATGCAATATTTTATGTAGTAAAATGAATAGAATGATTATGGGGATCATATTCAGTGTAGCAGAGTGCTTATTGAGAAAAATGATGTGCAACATGTAGGTGTCACTATGATGCTTAGCATATATACAGAGTTGTAAGTGGAAAACTTAAGACATGAGGTCATGTTCCAAGGAAATACAAATGGAAAATAGTAGGGCTCACTCAGATGAAGGTCTGTACTTCAGAGATTCTCATCCCCGCCAGCCACGATTTTTCACCCTACCTCCTATTTTTTATTTCTTTTTTCTTCTTCTTGATTCTGATCGGGATCGGTATTCAGCTACCATTCAAATTTCGTTTTAAATCCTGCAAATGTCGGCATGATTTTTACAGCTAAGATGGTAATTGTAATATGTGTTAAAAAGGATCATTGATTGTGAAAGATTGATGATGATGTGTAGTAAGAGATATGCAAATTTTAATGGAATTATACTATGACTTTTATTCAGGCATTATAAATAAATCTGCACCAATTGATCAGGGTCAACAATAAATCTGCACAATGGAAAAATATAAAATGAAACCTGCCTGCTCACCTTTTCAAAAAAATCGAATGAGAATCTCAGAATCTTTTTATTTGATATGGCCTACATGTGCTAACTAATATGTAGTTTACATGTTATAAGTTGACATATATTCTTTTGAGCTATGAGTATATGAGGTGCACATTAATTAGCCCCCGAGAAACTATCCCCACATTTTGTTTAATGATTTCATGTATTTCCCTACCCCCTCGACTATGTTTGGCATTAAAAAAAACCTGTCATATGTCACCATAACATTTATGCATATTGTGAGCAGACATTTATACATAGCACTCTTAAATTTACAAGTAGACAAAGCAAAATATATAGCATAGTTTCCCCTAAGAAATAACTATGCAGGGCCCCAAATAATAATTGGCTCGCTGGTCTGGGGCCAGTGAATTTTTAATCTGGGCTAGCTAGTACATTGTAAAGGGTATATGCCATTTTGGTCAGTTTTTTATATAATGTTTATAAACAAAATTCATTCGCGGTCGGGCTGGTGAACTTGGCAAGGTTGTATGTGCAAGTTCTGTTGTTCCTTGTTTATGTTAAGTTGTACCACTAAGTATCACATTATAAATAAAACATTACTATTATCATTATGGCTTTGGACTGTCATTTAAAAATCCACTAGCCCTATGAGACAATGAAAGTACTGAGTTTACCAGTGAATTATTTATTTATTTATTTATTTTTGATATTTTTATAATTTAACATGATAGCCAAAGTGACCTGAGTGAAAAAATATTTGTAGCCCTGCAGTGAGATGTTCTAGGTCTTGTGGAAATTGTCAGAATTTGGGAAGTGAGTAAAAAATGTCTGATCCTGGATATTAACACATTTATCTTAGAACTGTTTTTTTTCAGGTGTTGCTTGCAGAGCCAAAGTTGTCAACTTCCTTCGAAAGGCTTTTCCAACAATAGCTGATGCAGAGGAAGAATTTGCCATTAATTATGAAAACAAATGCCACGACGACTCAGGAATTCAAGATATACCTCCAACACCCGCCTCTGCTTTCAGCCTTGAGAAATTTCAGCACTGTTATTTGTCCAAATTTACAGAGGATGAGGTAATATCTTTGTGGAAAAAACTTGGCAGAGATGTCCCAGCCCATGTTCATCTTCAGTCTGCACAAGAGAACATTCCTGATGATGAACTTGTGAAGATCACCAGTACTGCCTCATTTAAGTGTCTTGAAGAGTTAATTTCAAGAAGTTTTTCCAGATTGACATTGGCCAGACAGAAAAATTGTCTTGATAAACTGTTCATTACTGCAGCAAAGTGTGAAAGAGTAACTCATGTTGAAACTTTCCCAAGCTTAGCCATGGAAGCAATGAAGATGCTGAAGGAAAAGGGGAAATCAAATGTGTTGAGGGATTTTGCCAGGTGTTTAGGCCTTAAAAGACCAGAATCAAATGAGCCACTTATGCCAGTTGACAGAATGCCATTTGGATTGATCCAGCACCAGATCCAGTTTTTTTGTGCTAGTGACGTAAGACAGGTAAGCAGTCTGTAATAACCCAGTTATATGATTGTATGAAAATTTAAAATATTTGTGAATCTGACTCATTTACTTTACGAGTGATCAAAGAACTTTGTTTTAGACAAGCTAAGTTTCAAAATGAATTGCCAATTTCGATATTGAATTGAAAATCAGATAAAATTTTGTTTTGATTACTTTTAGATTTCAATACCTGAAGATTATTACCAGTGGCTAGAAACATTGGATGCAGAGTTTGATGACAGGCTAGGCCGAGTATTGAGGGGACCTATGTGGAGTGGCCAGTCCTCGGATTGTGTTGGTGACCCATTAAAGGTATCATATTGAGTAGTCTTCTCTTGTGTCGCATTGAAATATGTGGCTTACAAAATGTACAGAAATAGCACTTACAATATTTTTAATGGAACAAAATATAAATTAAACTAATATGAAGAGCATTCTAGTAGGTAATCCTTTTGATTTTGATTTCAGGCTAGAGTCAACTTAGCAGCTGTCAGCAAATCAACAATAAACCGACGAACAGCTTCCTCCGACTTTACTGACACCCCTTCAATACAGGCAAGAAATATGATATATTAATCTATACAAATTAATCAATTGATCCAGCATGAAAATTGCATGAAATTCATACCTCAGTAGACTTGATAACTTTTAGTATGAAGGAAAGTCAAATGATACTACTATAACTTTAATGATCTTCAGCTTTTGAAAAAAAACATGATCTTTTTTTTTTTTATATTGCAGACTCCAGCTATCAATGTACTGAAGGAAACCAATCCTGCAGGTCGTTATTGGATCAAGCTTGATGGTACCGATGTCAAGGAGGGGCTGCAACACTCTATGAAAGAGAAATGGGACGGTGATGTTGACATGCTAGATGGACAACTCAGCAAGTTGCAAGAGGAATATAGATTGAGATTAAAGTCCGTCACCCTCTCAGACAATACTGACTGTGCGAATCTTCAGGAGGAGATAGTGTGTGATCTCAATTGTGACAAGACTTTCCTGGAGAAATTGTTCAAGGTGGCAAGCAAAAACCTAAGGAGTAAAATTTCACAAAAAATGCCAGCACTGAAACTCTGAAGACACTCAACTGGGATGTAGTGGAGTGTAATACCCTTCTACAAGAGTGTCAAAGTTTTCTGGACCAGTTTGACAACGCAGAAGATATACCTGCACTGCTGAAGTGTCTGAACAATGATCTTCATGGTTATTTCAAAAACCTCTACAAGAAGAAGAGAACAGCAGCAACACATGTACTTGTTATAGCTGTGTCTGATGAACAAAGAAAAAGCAAACCCTACACACTTCCTGTTCAGTTCATTCCGTACAAGTCCTTGCGGGATCAGTTCATCAGAGATTTGACTTTGCCTTTGAAGAAAGCCATGACAGATGCTGGACTGGAAGTTGTTGGTAAGTTCTACCGAGTAATTAATTAAGTAGCAGGGTTGTCTCTAAGACCCAGGGCCGGGGAATTTCCCCGCCTGTAATGACATAATCTCCCGCTTATTCTGGTATCCCCCTCAAGGCCCTGTTAGGGGAGGAACCCCAAACCCCCTTCTATTTTTTAAATGTCCCCTGCTATTTAAATTGTTAGGGACAACCCTGAAGTAGTACCACATTAAATTGAAAAAATTATTAACTATGAACATAACTTTTGTATTTCTTCAATGAACAATTTGATGAGGATTGGTTATATTTTCAGACATTAGATTACAAAAGAAAGTTTATTACAAATTATTCAAGAAATTTGTACAGTTTGTACTCATTTAATACTGATACCTTTAATGTTCTCAAATTTGTGTACAGATATTTCAGTTTCAATTTATATTATTTTCAGGTACAGTGACGGATGGGGAATTCAATTCTCTCAGAACACAAGGTGAAAGTGGTCCTCTTCACATTTGGCAGGTGGTGCATGATTCCAAGGAGGCAGTGAGGAAAATGTCGAAAACCACTCTGCAATCTATGCTTACATATGCTGGAGGTACATACATGTATAAACATTTTGACTTGTGTAAAATTTTAGAAAAAAATTAAAGGCACGTAATGATCAATATTTTACATCATAAAATATCCTGTATGATGTATATAAATTGAAAAATATCATATTAAAGAAATTTTAAAGTAACTTAGTTGAATATTTCACTTATTAAGCATGTTGTATATTTTCAGAGGATGCAAATGGTATTCCCTTTGCTGCCACGCCAAACTCTGCCATTCCGACAAATCTGATTAGGAAATTGCATGAACTACAGAATGGTGGCCTTTCCTTTGAAGATGCAATTGTGAACATCCGAGGTTCACTTGTGCCAGATGGATACACGCCATATTCATTCAGAAAGGACACCCCTGAGTCATTCTTGGACAAGATGAGGAGCATTGTAGCCACCTGCATATACAAAGATGCAATCAAGACCTTGCAGCAAAAGGGTAGGGACTTCACTCAACACCTCTATGTCCCTGAGAAGGATTCAGTTACTGGAAAACAACATCATGAAAGAGGTAACCATAACCACATACTGAAGAGAATTGCTGGTTGCACAAGAGAATGTCGTTACCCGGAACTTAACCCTGAAGCCTTTGACAAAGCCATGCTGGATCCACTGACAGGATTATCCCATGCTGCTCTAACAGGTCAGCGCCCACAGTCTGTAGAAGATGCAGAGAGACTCTTGTCCTATCATGTTGCGGCCTCAATGCAAAAGCATGACTATAACTTTGAGGCAGAGTATGTGCAGACAATAGCTGCCTGGCATGAGGCTTCAGATGGAAGGGGGATGAGCCAGCTAGATCGCTGCAAAGCAAACTATGAGATGCTGAATTATTTGTTGGATCAGCTGATGCCATGGCACAGGGAGATATATGATTTCTCAACTCTGGACATAAACAGGTCAGTGTACCTTCATTGATTGACAGTTTTATCTTGTAATACACCTGTGTAAAAAGTCAATTTTTCCTCTGATGGATGTATTAATTAACAGGGATTCCAAAAAAAAAAAAAAAAACACCAGTAACTGCACTGAAAGTAGTCTTTAAAACTTGTTAAAGCATGAATACTAAAACTTGTTAAAGCATGAATACTTAAAATACTTCAACATTTTCCTTTTCTTATTTTTTAGACCAATGGATACAATCAGGGGGTTCACGAGGGAAACCTTTATAGAAATAACAACAAACATTGAAAGCCAAGAATCCAGACGGAGGCAGAACAATGTCCTTGAGTATCCCGAACACCCAAGAGCTGCCACAACAGATGATGTTGAATGCTTCTTTAGCTTGACCAGGCGGCACCTTGGTGATACTTTCACAGTGAAGGATTTTCGTACTGGGTGGAGGAAACTTGTGAGGGAATTCTGTAAAAGACTAGATCCAGATTTGAAATTCCATTACTGGACACAGAATGAAAGATTTCATGTGGAACAAAAACCCTTTGACAATAGTGATGGTGACAAAAGACTTCATGTGGTAAAACACAAGTCTCGAGAGGACAGTTCTATATTCACGGCCGGACGGGCATTCTTGCCAGCCAAGAACAAGCAGTCCATTAGACAGAGACTTTTTCGAGTGGATGTGGGACTACCGCCTGTTCCTAATGAAGTTCGACCCCGTTGACTCGTAGGTCTTCATGCTACTGAGCCGAGTATATCATATTGATCGAACATTTTTAGAAGTTAAGTTCCACTGTATTTAAAATTGATTTGACCTATTTTCTAAACTTTAAAACCTGAATTGAATGATTGAGAATCATAAATTTTGTTTCCTAAGGTTAGTTTTCAATTTGACAGATTGAAAATTTTGATAATGTACAGGAATCCATTGTTTTAAATTTACATGGTCTTTTATTTCGAACTTGTAAATCTAATCTTAACATGTCGTCATGTTTTGATTTCGAGTTATTAAAGGAAAACCTTTTTTTGTGATTATCTAATGAGAGCTTAATTGTGGTTATTGTTCAGTGATGTAAAATCAACATATTCTGTTATTTTAAATTTTTTAAAATCTTTTTGACATACGATGAAATTGAGAATCATAAAATTGGTTTCCTTATGTTTTGATTTCGAGTTAAGGAAACCTTTTTTTCTGTGGAAATCTGATGAAAGCTAAATTGTATTTATTGTAAATTTCGATGATGTACACTTAATATGTAAAATCAACATATCCTGTTATTTATAAAGTGTTTGAATCTTTGACATAGGATAAAATTGAGAATCATGAAATTGGTTTCCTTATGTGTTTATTTCAAGTTATGGAAACCTTTTTTTTCCTGTGATGATCTAATGTAACCTTAACCATGTTGTCTCTGCTAAGTTGTTTTTATTGTTAATTTTGATGATGTTCACCTGTGTAAAATCAACATTGTCTGTTATTTATAAACTTTGTTAATCTTTGACATTCCATATTTTGTTTCCTTACTTGTTGATTTCTAGTGAGGTCTTCTAGAAATATTCTGTGATTAACTTTTTTCAATGGTATTTCTATTAAATTTTAATGGTATTCAGCTATTATGTAATATTATCCTGGTCTGTTTTTTTTTTTTTTAACTTTTAATATTTGTTGATGATCTATTTATAAACCTTATATAGGGATGAGATCAAAATTTAAAACCCAACAAAAAAAGTACATTCAGTTTTTATCAAGCCCCATGGTTGTGCTCACAACTAAATGCAATTATCTAGAACTAATGTTAATAATTTTGTAAATACAAGTTATCAAATCTCATTGATTTGATCATATTTTATTGTATAATGCATACAAAAGGATTGGATACAAGTTCTTTCAATTTATTAGATCCTCTCCTAAGGCCAAAAAAAATAATAGTTTTGTTTCCTGCTACCCGACCTACCCTATTTTTTTGCACCCGACCCTAAAGTTTTTTTTAGTTTTGGAAGAAAAAAAAACGGGAATTTCCTGTATTTCATTGTTTTGTCGCCGTAATCGGTTTCGATGTTAACACAAAACAAGCATTTCATGAAATTCTTGTTTAAAAATACGGACTTTCATAAAATACCCTTGAGTTGTGCATAAAAAAAGACATGAAATTTAATTTTAAAAGACAATATTGACATGTGACATGTTTAATTTGATCTTGTATTAGTTCATATCCAAAATATGCCATCAGAAAAAAATAAAATGAAAAAATGAAATAAAATAATTTGCCTACCTACCTACCCTATTTTTTTCAGGCTGGTAGCAGGAAACAAGACTATTATTTTTTTTGGCCTAACTTTCATTACAATATGTTCTTTCTTATGTAATTGTTATCAATTATTAAAACCTTTGAGGGGCTCAACCCCAAACCCTCACTCTCTTCACTGCATGTGAATTTAGTTTTCTTTATAATTCAAAATTTATCTTTTGATATCATCTCTTTCATCATGGCATTGTTATTAAAACTGATATTTGTTATTTTCATGAGACAGTATTAAACAATGGAAATTTTACTTGCAGTTCTTTGTGCATTTTTTTTTTTTGGTTCAACTTAACCAGAGGTGTGAGCTCCTGGGATCTTGTAGCTAGACAATCAAGAAGCAGTTTTAAACCCAAGTCAAAATTCATACATTGCCTTCATTAATATTTTTAATACGTGTATTAAACACTGTATCTGAAATTTCTCATTTAAACCATTATTTTTTCTATTAATAAAAATTAAAGTTATGAATTTTGACTTCAGTACTGCTTTATAATTCTGAGTCCCAAACTTCTTTCAGTTCTACAGAAAGAGGACAAGATCTTCAAGTTCAAATACTTTATAGTGGTATAACAATATTTATGTTCACACATGTTGGTTTATGAATACAAAACAGAGTTCATGATGGTTGCAGTTACATTTTGATAACATTTTTAAAGATATTCACAAACACAAAACAAACTTTTAAATGATCTCATTATTAAACTAATATCAAAACAAAATGCATATTTATAAAAGGATAACATAGGATCATATCATATCATAAATAATGTTTGTCAAACATTGAACCCGCACTTTTAATTTTTTCACAGAATAGAGTTGTATGCGTTGTTGTCACTGTCTGGTAGCCACCTTCCTTTTTTACAAATGTAAACAAAGGCACGTAGTTTTCTGGCATTCAGATTGTTCACAAACCAGGAAGTCACGGATTTCACGTACACGGAAACAATTTCTTTGTTCCTGATTGCAGAAGTCACTTTGGGAATTTTTCGTACACCTATGTATCCGAGTGGGAGAGACTGTTCCTCGATACGTGCAATAACACATATGGCATTAGCATCTTTAGGATTTTCTTTCTCAGGTAACAACTTGACAACGATGTCTTTTTGATGTCTTAGGGCGGTCTGAACAGTTTTTAAGTTGGTCTGGTACCTCTCTTCATAAGTTGACCCTTTCACTGCAAGCACCTGTGTGAATAGCTCTGACGATTCCACGTCCTCATCTCCCGAACATTGTTCACTGTCCTCCGATTCACTTGAATCTGGATTAGGTGGGAGATCAGCAGTCTGAATAGAAACACCTCTGCTTTGAGCACAGCACACACATGATGAGTGTCCAATAGCAGGCATTCCAGGAAGGTCCACAGCATTCATCTGTTGAGGCATTCCTTTGAACTGGGCCCCAGGTATGACAGTGAAAGACCAAACCATGACTGCCCAAGACTCTTCACCATTACAGAAAAGTCCTTCGACTTCTTCTTTTTCAAACTGATACATAACAATAAATCAATGTATAAGCTTAAGAAAATAAGAAATTGTAAACTGGCAATGCATTGTTAAGGACACATTAAAAATTTGTCTAGAAGCTCCATCACAAAATTAAGTGCTCAATAACAAGTGTAATATTTATGTGTGCAGTAATTAGAAATCAAGTGGCATAATTAAACATGAATTTAGTTATTAGTATCATTTAGTTATCACCACTTCTCAAATTACTCGTATATATAATACAAAGACGCGCGCGTGTGTGGTGTTGTTCTGATTTATCCAGATAAACCTTTCAACTGATTATTAATTTGGCCAAATAGTTGACAGTGGGGAATTCTCAAATTGGCCAAGTTATTTTTCAATAGAATCGACTTCATGTATTTTTTTACCCTCCCCATAAAGCATGTCAAGTGGTCAATTCTGTTCGATTCATCCTTCGATTCAAAAAGACGCCATCCAAACTCAGAGTAACATAAAACCACTTTCCAAGCATTATTGAAATTATTTCAAGAAGAATAAAATGTGTAAAATATATCAAGTACCTTAAAATCGCATGCATTGTCGATGAGTAACAATACTGGCGATTGCTCGGGAAGTCTGGACTCAAGCCGATCAGCAGCCAGCAGAATACGACGTCGTATCAATGGCTTATTCACTGGACTTATGTGTCCTATCCGCGCAGAAACACTTAAACTAGGACAGTCTCTCATTGGGATGGAAAAAACATCTTTTTCCACACAAAACAACCACAATTCGTTGGAATTTAACCACTCGCTAGTCGATGTTACCACTCTGATCGCCATTTTGAAAATGATTTGTTTACCGCGCCAGCGATCGATAATATAGTACGAGGTTGCGTGCCGTGTGCAAAAATGCGCTACCTCCTCTGAGAAAGGATAATAATATAGCTAAATTCTCTCTCTTAAAATAAAATACCGGATATAAAGCAAGAATGATAGCTCAATATAATGTTTGTTTCAGAAAAGTCACGTGACTTGTTTTTCACTATACAAACGGGGACCCGTGTGTAACCCCCAAATACAATCTTCGGTAATTGTGAAAAGTTCACACTCACACACGTTTTAATCCTAACTAACCGGGGACATTTTTTCAACATGTTGAAAAACGGATCTTTTCGGCTTTTTGGGGGTAAGTAGACATCCCTGATTTCGAATTTGGCGCTATTTTTAATCAAAGACAACCGGGGACGTCCCCGGTTGGGAGGTTGTCCCCGGTTGGAAGGTGTGTAAACAAACAATTGTCCCCGTTTGACACCTTTCACGCACGCACACCCACACCCATATATATATATATATATATATATATATATATATATATATATATATATATATATATATATATATATATATATATATATAAAATGTACTATGAAGGGGAGGGGGTCTGTTTGAGTGATTGTGTGTGTATGTATTGTTAAAATATATATAAAATAGAAGGGCGCAAATGAAAATATTGAAGTTTAATAATGCATTGACTGTCAATTAATTCAATTTCAAGTGTGATCACCTATAAATAAAGAAAGACTACTCTGGTATGAAACTTTCCTGCACATGCCTGAAGTAACACTATTTAAGGAATAACTGTCTTATTTTTTGGATTCATGATGTGATCAATCGAGTTGCTTGCGTGATAATTTGCATAAACGCCGAAGGCGTTTATGCATAAAATTATCACGCAAGCCAATCGATTGATCATCGTCATGAATCCAAAAAATCTGACAGTTATTCCTTATATTTACATGCTCCTGATTCTGCAAATTCCCGTGCTAATAGCCCCGCTTCTGTCTCTATTTGTCCCGCCCCGCACGTGATTTTTTTTCTAACCGCGCCTATCGATGAACCAGTAGATTTATGTAGAAATAAAGTATTTTTACAATTTGCAATTTTATCTCGGACAAAGACATTGGAAATGTAAATATTTAGCATTCAATGATTTATGTGAGCCAAAACAAAAAGATCTTCAAAAATGTTATTTTGACATGCATCATAGTAAATGCACAACCACATTATTAGTTCTTGTTTCGATTTCTCATCTTATTGTTTATGATGGTCGTAAATCCCTACCGTATGCAAAACTTTTGATTTCATTAATTAAGAGTTCATTAATGGAAAGGTTAGAGTAGACCTTCGGGGTAGTCTTTCGGGGTATCAGGGCCATTGTTTCTATTTACAGTGAATCACATTACACGCCAAGGGACTAGAACACATTTGTTTTGATAGATTAAAAATCCTAGATTTTCTAAGAGGTAAATAGCTTCATGATAGGTTCATATGATCAGAATGTCGTCTAGGTACATTGTAAATCAATAGACGTATACCTAGTTGACGTTAAATTTCATTTGGATTTTTCATTTTTTTTTTTTTTTTTTTTTTTTTTTTTTTTTTTGTAAACACAGGAAGTACAAAAACTATCCCGAAGGGAAGGGAAATAAACTCCAGTATTTTTTTTCTTTATAAAGAGTTTCAGAAATTTCGGTAGAATTCTGCTACATTTATTGTCAAAAACACATTCTTGAATGAAGTATAACTTCGGTCATTCAAACAGTAAACCACCTGTATTCAATTAGCGAGCGGAACTGATTGAAAGTAATTGAATGTATCTATGAGGCCATCTTAAAAATATTGTGTGGTTGCCCTCTCCCGACCGAATGGCTTAAAATGGCCCGACTAAAAACTTTCTTTAACCTTCAGGAAGCAATAATTTTTTACGCATCCCGTTAAATGGATTTTTCGAATTCGGCATTGATATTGAAATTTTCTGAGAAAAAAATATTTTCCCACCTATACCTACCGACCGAATTTTTTCATCCCAAGTTTGAAGAGGGCAAACAAACATTATTTTTAAGTTGGCCTGAACTAAATATTTTACCTGAGGCCTATATTTATGTATTTTTTGTATGTTACTACAGGAAATTTTTCTACGAAAGGAACAAATATAATTTATCACCATAACTCTCATGATTGGCCTTATTTCGACGTTAATAGCTATAGAACGGAAATTCCACAGACAATAGAGTTTGACGTTCAACGTACGGGAACGGACTTTTACTTTTATATATGGGATAATGATAGAAGAACTGTTGAATTTGAATTGTGTGAAATAGAAATAAATGGTAAGTCAGACAGAAGCCATTATGTCTTCAAAACTAAATCTCAGGATATCTACTGTTAAATTCTGTTGTATGAAAAGAGATCTAGAAACTGCTTTCTATTTAAGATTACTCTTTCTACAGGATGTGAGGTTGATCACTATGGTAGCGACTGTCTGCCCTGTAATAAGTCTGATAATTGTGAAGTATGTGACGTTAACAATGGAGCTTGCTACATCTGCAGAGAAAATTATACAGGGCCAAACTGTAGCATAAGTATAACTCTATTCTTTTCGCTATTGAATTGTAATTGAGTAAATAATATGCCACAAATTTCTAAATGATAACATTTTAAACAAAAAAAAAATCATGAAAACACTGCATGGCTAATTTCAAGATATTTAATTGTCGCCATTTGAAAATTTTATAACGTTTTAACATATTTTAAATTACCAAACCAATTTTACATGTACAATACCAGTTACTTTACGGCATCTTTTTGATTTAAAAGTTTAAGGTCTAGAGTCCCTTGAATGTATTAAATCATTATATCCATTTTTTAAACATATTCTTAGTCGCCCGCGTGGCGCAGTGGTTAGAGCGTCTGCTCTAGAGTCGCGGCGTAAGGAGTTGATCCTTACGTCGCGGGTTCGAATCCCACTGTGGGACGTGGAGACCGGTCCTTCGGATGAGACCGCATAAACCGAGGTCCCGTGTCGCAATAGGTGCGGGCACGAAAAAGATCCCTCACTGCTCAATGGCCGTAAGTGCCGAGCATAGGACAAAATTTGCAGCTCTCCACCGGCAAGTGGTGGCGTCTCCATATGAGTGAAAAATTCTTGAGAGGGACGTTAAACAACATAAAAACAAACAAACAAAAAAACATATTCTTTCTTCGACCTTTGACAACTTGCTTAAGAAGGATTTGATATAATAGCAACACTTAATCTATTAAACGGTAGGTAAAACCGTTGACTTTTCAGTTCTTCCCTAAAGTTATTCCTTTGCAGCTACAATGTACATGGTAACAAACTTTGAAATTGCCAATTTATATGCATAACTAGATTGAATACCGCGCAAGCCCGGGGAATTGACTTTAATTACTACTAATCCAAAGCCTACTTGACTCTTGCTCTAAGGCTGTAATCTCACATTCATGTCGCTCTCAGTTACAATAAACACACTCGACTAATTACAACAAATTAACTTTAATGACAGAAGTTTACCAAACCCTACGCTGCCACCAAATTTTTTAATGTAATTTTGTAAAACTCTGAGATCGTACCTTGTCAAGTATAGGGTATGGGGTGTTCAATATAGTAATTGATTAAAAATAGTTGGCATGACTCTAGTGACTGCCGAAATATACGAATACATGTACGTCCTTACCCTAAATAGAATAAAATCAAACAGTAAATCACTATAATAATCAGAAGCAAGCAACAATTAATTATCTGGTATTCCTAACCTAACACAAGAGTCTAGTCGCCCTCGGATTGTTTCATATACTGTAGTATGCCTTATTCAGGACGGACAGTATATGAGGTAGCCCTTCAACCACTACATTCACTGTGTAGATTGCCTTATGAGTATAGCCGCTTAGACGGACTGGTCATGTTCAGCCAATGCAGAAGATACAAAATAAACTATAACTAGCCTTTATGTCGAAGGTCAACCTCGTATGTGGCAGGCCTTAACTGGTTTTGCCCTCCAAATTCTCTCTCTAACCGTAAAACAGGAGGGGAACTTTATTCACTACACTTGTCTTCTATCCTTTGCTGCATATGAAGAATAACAATAACTAAACGACTGCAGGGTCTCAGTACTTATTCACAACTGATGTCACGTGATGTCAACAGTGACTAACAATAACTAAACGACTGCAGGGTCTCAGTACTTATTCACAACTGATGTCACGTGATGTCAACAGTGACTAATTAAGAACTCCGTATGGTCGTACATGTACCTTCAAATCCCGGAATCATTACAAAACCAGTATGAAAATAAAACTTAAAATTCTGAGCTAGTACCCTAACCTGAACATTTCAGAACCCAGGTTTTCCGAGCCCGGTGTTTTATACAGATAAAACTTGAGGGGCGGATCTGGGAAACCTGTTATGATACCACGTACCATCTTTTCACAGAAGTTTTCAACAACCACTGGTACCCAAACCTTGAGAATTTTAGACCCCGGGGAAGGGGGATTTGGCTGTTTCCAAACCCGATGTTTATTCATTCGGATCAATACGCTCCAAAATAAATAAATATAAAATAGGTTTTCATGCATATACGTTGCAGTTTAAAAACCACAGGTGCATACAGTTGTTTGACCAGTTCCGAATAAGAAACCGATTCGGCGGTGCTATAAATATATTAGGCATTGTTTCAAAATCTAAGTTGTTTGCCAAAGTAGTTCAATGACTTGTGGAATTGAATATTGTTTCATAAAAGTTCAGCCTTTCAAAAAAGCTTTTATTTTAGCAAGTAAACATAGGTACTCATTTTACCAGTTACGAATAAGCCGACGAGTTCCAAATACCTTAGCGGTTCCCATGGAATTCGACCCTACATTAAAAATATCCGTCGCACACATTATCCATTGACATGCCTGGGAAAAGTTAAAATAATTGCTTACCAGTAAGTTAGTGGTATTTCCAAAGGATAAAGAGAAACTAAAGGTACTGTGA